TTTCCTGTTTCTTTAGCAAAAAGATCTTTCAAACTTTTTCATAAAGTTTTAGCATTCACCTATTCTGCAACATGATTAGAAACATTATCATCAATGTACCGACGAATAAAAGCACAAACTTATTTATTCTCAAACTTTCAATCCTCATATGTTTTTATCTTAGGTTTATCCGAAGCAAACACCGATAGTTGCCAACTCTTTACATATAACGGACCTTTCATTTTTCTCTTCCATATGTGATAATTGGTTCCATTCGACTTATCATTTTAATGTTACTCTCCATATTGTTTAAGCTGAAAAATAAGCAACTAAGCTCCGATACCACTTGTTGGGCAAAGAAACACAAATAACATAACGGAACCTCTTTGCCCTTGCTTGAACAATCAAACACGTGCTACAACTAAATACTCAAGCTAAGCAAGTAACTAATAGTCTAAAAAATAAGCAATCAATCACAATCACACAAAGAACACACATATTTTTACGTGAAAAACTTCTCGATTTGAGAAGGAAAAAACCACAAGACCGTAATGCACAATAACTTCCACTATCAACAATAAGGGTACAAGGAGTCCTATCTAGATTAAACTAGATAAATAATCAATTAAAAACATCAAAGGTTACACACTCTTGGCAAATCACATCAAAAGATGATACACAAAGAAAGTAGAAGAAACCAAGTTCAAATTTTATCAAAAAATAGCACTTTTATGAGCATAATATCTCACTCTCTAGGACTTAAAATCAGATCTCTACCGTCCAGAATGTGTGTTTGCCTCTCCTAAACGTGCCCACCAAATTTGAGCTCGATCCAATAGTTAACGAACTCGAAACTTAATTTTAGCGTGACTTATTTATGCTCGAAACTCTCTTCCATCTTTCTCTCAAAAGTTGCAGCTCTCACTCCTTTTCTTTTCTTTTTCTCTCATGCTTCTTCCCTAATCTGATTTCAGAATAAAAGAGAAGATAGAGTTTTTTTTTAAATACCAAAATTACCCTTTATATGATTAAAAATTATTTCTCCATATGGGCTCTATAATTGGGCTCATGTAAGCAAACCTTTGAGCCATTCTCCAAATATGAGGGAAACCCAACATAAATAATATTTTTTTCTAAAATGTTTTTAATTAAAATTTATTTTGAAAAAAATTTCAAATATAATTATAAAAAAATTATATTTTAAAAAATATGAAAAAACATTGATATAATATTATAATTAATAATTTTTTTAATTTGTATAAAAATTAAAGATGACAATTCTTTTAGGACGCAACGACAGTTTATTTATTTATTTTTTAATGACTCTCATCCTTTTCCTTAGCTAAAACAATGGATAGCGTGTTGTGTAGAAATAAGATATCCTGCATCATGATAAACTTAGGAATATTCGTCATACTTTGAAGCATCTACCTGATCCCTTGAGCCAACAACAAACTCACGGTCTTTTTCAAAAAACTAAAAAGAGAGGTTTTTTTTTTTCTCAAGATATTCTAAATACAAAAATTCAAATTAATTCATGTTGTTCGATCGATTAGATGTATAAAACGAATATAACTATTCAAATAATTTTCTACGTACATAATATATCACTTATTTAAACAATCAAAACTCAATTTTACTCAAATAAACTTTATCAGAGAGAGAGTGAGAGAGAGGTTTATTTAATTCTTAATTAATTTTTTTTTGTTCAATGTTTCAATAACTGAGTCTTCAAGAAATCACCATGTGAAGGAAAATAAGCAAAATTAATGTGAGTAAAGCTAAGAAAAAATTAATTTAAAAACTAAATCGCACATGGGCACATGGCATTTCATTAAAGAAAATTAAAAATGAATGACCATGATGATACCAAGTTTAAGATTAGTTTACGTTGGGTGATCTTTTAGGCCGAAGGCATACAGAAATGTGCAAGAAAAAGATTTTAGCTAGATACCAATAAAGGCTAGTTTGACAAGATGATCAAGAAATAAATGACCCACACTTCCTTAAAAAATAAAACTAAAAATAAAAAACTAAAAAGAGGTCATTGATGGGTTCTCTACAAGTCTGTTTAACATGCCATCTGCCAGTCAACCCTTAAAAAAAAAAAATATCCATCATCTTTGAAGCATCTGCTACCGCAAGATCCTTTGCCTTTTTCTAGCAATTGTTTTAAACACATTATACTCCATGGATTTTTTTCCTTTTTATTTTGTTGTAATATATTAATTGCTCTTGATTAAAAATTAGCTTTGTTTATATATATATATAATACAATCACTCAGGTAAAAAAGGCTCGTCTCAGCCTCTTTCTCCTGATCTGGACCAACACCCTTCGAATAATACTTGTAGAAATTGTAGCGGCTATGTAAGAATTTTAGTAGTAATAAAATTACATTTTTCTATCAAAAAATAAAATTGAAAGATACTATACTTATAAATACATGATAAAAGTACATGTGATAACAATATAAAGATAGATAATTCTTAAAAATCTAGGATATGATGTGTTATTTTCCAAGTATTATATGTTATATACAAATTTTATTTTGAAAATAAATACAAAATGGCATCTCAAAATCAATATAACCAATAATAATATATATTCAATTTAAATGTTAAAAAAAAGACATAATGTTAATTGGTATGATTGCTATCTATATCTACTTTCTAAATATGGGTTAAAAAAACGATTTTGCTACTTTTATCATATACATTAATTCATTACCATTCGATTTAAATTTAATAATTACGATGATTATTCAAAATGATGCATACTAAATAAGCAGAATAAAAATAAAAAAAATTCGATTTGGACACATTTTGAATATACAGTGGATATGTATAGCTAATTAGATGATGATCAAATGGATTAGATCTAAACACAATTTAATTTTTTTATTAGTTAAATAAAAAACTAAAATATTTCACCAAATAGAAATTTACTTCAAGATTTTTCTGATTAATTTCTTATTATTCATTTTAGTGATGTCAATTAATTCAATAATATGATTGGGATTTTCATACTTGAGGTGTTTCAATTAAAAATATAATTATTATAATTTCATTTTGGTTTATTTTTGTAGTCTCTATAGCAATAAACATGAACAAAATATTTTTAGATTGAAAAATTATTTATCTTGTTATGGAATGCCAAATTAAAAGAGAGTTAGGTAGCAATAATTAAATTTAAAAGAAAAAAAATACTTAAAAAATTGAAAGAGAAAAAATAAAATTAACCCATAGTTAGAAAGTAAATATAGATAACAATCATACCAATTAACATGTTGTTGTTGTTTTTTTTTTTTTTTGAAGATTTAAATTGAATATATATTATTATTGGTTATATTGATTTTGAGGTGCTATTTTGTATTTATTTTCAAAATAAAATTTGTATACAATATATAATACTTGGAAAATAACATATCCTTTGATTTTATGTCCTATATATATATTTAAGAATTATCTATCTTTACATTGTTATCATATATATTTGTATCATGTATTTATAACTATGGTATCTTTCAATTTTATTTTTTATAGAAAAAATATAATTTCATTGAACTGAAAATCTTACGATCATTACGATGTATTTATAACTATGGTATCTTTCAATTTTATTTTTTATAGAAAAAATATAATTTCACCGAACTGAAAATCTTACGGTCATTACGATTTCTACAAGTGTTATTTGAATGAGATAAATAATTTTTATCTGAATCACTCTATTAGCAAGAAAAAAGTTTTTCTCATCATTTCTTTAAATTCGAATCAAGTTAACAACTCTCCCTTCTACCTGCTCCTGACTCTCTATACTTGTTCTATTTATCATCTCACCTGATTAAATCATTGAATTCAAAATTAATGTTAAAACTTTGAATATGGTCATTTTGAACTATTCCCTCCATCGCAAATAAATTATCTTTTTATATTTATATTTATCTCAAAATACTTATATATTTAAAATTTTAAATAGTATATTTTTTTTAAAAAAAATATTGCTAATTAAAGTCTATTTTATAAAAAAAATTATTCAGATACATTTAAAAAAAAATCCAAAAGAGTATGAAAATAAATTGCTGGTGTAATATAATAATTAATAATCATTCTTAATATGTAGGAAAAATGAACTATGAAAATCTCTATTTTCTGGTACGGAGGCAGGATTCCGACGTTTTGCCCATACCTCAAGGGAAACAACGTGCGACTCAATCTCCGAGAAATTAACAGGTTAAAAAGAAATGCACGTTTTCCTACAAAATTAAGGTAGAAAGAGACAAATTTATCCACAAACTATTCTATCAATCCCAATTGAGTTCCATACCTATCGAATGTCCCAATTGAGTCCTCTATCTATTAAGATTTTGCTCAATCCACTCTTGTTATCTAAAATTAATAGATGTGTAAATTTTGCGTATGACTTGCACATATACCTTCAATTTTAGGGCAAAAAAAAAAAAAAAGCTATAAAGTATATAATGTATTTTAGAATTGACAAATTATATTTAAGCATCTTACCACATAAAAAGATTTTTTTTTAATATTTATTATTTATGTGTAATGTATATATAATTTTTTAACATTAAAGATCTTTAATAATAAATATTTTAAATGTTAAATTTTTTTAGATCTAATCAATAATCTGTCATGCCTTTTTATAATAATGTGGTTAATTGAACCCACCTAAGCAGATGAGGAATTTAATTGAGACAATAAATTGATGTGAGACTCAAATGTAACAATCTAATAATGTGGGGACCAATCTGTCCCTTCCTCTAAATATAACTCCTAAAACGCAAAATCCGAAAATAAGAGAAAAGCCAAAACCAATCATGACAGGCCATGTCCTTCATTCGAGAAAACGAAAAAAAATTAATAACCCAAGTACAAAAAAAATCGAAGTCAAAAACAAGACGCCAAATTTTATCATCTCTTCTTCTATCATCCGCACTTCATATAAACTGCAAACAAAAAGAAAGAAAGCAAACAACTTTCAATTCAATTCTTCAGTTTGCTCTCTCATGGAGCGAACTTTCTCTTTGAAAATACTACTAACAATCTCCCTCTTTCTTGTCTTTCTTACCCCACAATCATCTTTAGCTACAAAATTACCCTTCCACCCTCGGGATTTGCTTCCTTTGTTACCGAGGCAAGTTTCATGGCCTATTCTCAATTACCTAAATGGTGCAGTGGACCTTTTGCCAACATTTGTTGGTGCTGCTTCTGCTTTCAACGACTCCGGTGAGTGGAAAGGTGCTTGCTTTTACGAGAACCGGGCTTGGATGGAATTTCATAACAAGACTGGCAGTGAATTTGGTGGTGGTACACTTCATCTCAAGGTATTGAATTAATTTTTTTTTTTGGGGTTTTGTTTGGGTTTTATTAAAGTTGTTGACTTTTATTGAATTTTGGAGGGTTTTCTATCTGGTTTGAATTTGGTGGTGGGACGTTCTTGTTTTATGGTAATAAAGATGTGAACTTTTGTTGTTTTGGGTTTTGTGTTTGTTTGGGTTTTATTGAAGTTGTTTTTCCTGAACAGTTGGGGATTTGCTATCGGGGTTTTTAAGTTGGTGGTGGGACATTCTTGTTTTATGGTAATAAAGATTTGAGAACTTTCGATGTTTTTGTTTTGGTTGAAATTTGAAGGTTTAGGTATCTATTGAATGTATTAGATTTTAGTGTTGAATTGAAGCTTATCAGGGTGTGGAGGGAAGTCAATTTGGGTTTTTAGTGTGGTTATTTTGTTTGGTTTTGTTGAAATTTTTATCATTTTGACTATCTTGGTAATGATATTGGATGTGTGTTTATTTTGGTGTGAATTAAAGCTCGTTTGGTTGGTATCAGGGTGTTAAAGGAAGTAGGTTTGGGGATATAGTGTGATTGTTTTGGTTTCATTTTAGTTGGTTTTGCTGAAAATATGGAGTATTTGATGCATGGTTTGCATGATTTCAATGTCTGCTGAATTTGAGTTCCTGTAGCACGAATCCAGATTTTAAGTTTCTTTCTTTCTTTCTTTTTTTTTAAAAAAAGGATTAAGGTGACTGGTTTGCTTTCTTTTTGCTATTTTGTTGACATTGGATGATTCAGTATAGGGATTTGAGTTTTGTTAAATTTTAGAACTGAATTTGAGCTTCTTCAGGCTTTGTAAGGCCTTGAGCATCGCATTTGAGTTGTATTTTTACCTTTCCTACTCTGAAGTCTGGTTCATTTTGTTGAAATTTTTGAGATTTGGTATCTGGTAAATGGATTTTTTATTTTTAGGGGAAGAATTTGACTTCTGTTAGTCCATGTGAGTTTTACTTTTGGTGGTTTATCTGTGTTAGCACCTATGAGTGGTCACATTTTTTTTGTGCTTGTAGTGATTTGAGATGTGCCTTTATGCTGTTCAGGTTAGCAAGGCTCACAGCTGGACATGTATGGATATTTATGTCTTTGCCACCCCATATCGTGTAACTTGGGATTATTACTTTTTATCTCGAGAACATACATTAGAGTTTAACGAGTGGGAAAGTAAAGCTGAATATGAATATGTAAGTTGCCACTTCCTATCATTTCTGGATTTAATACATTAGCTAGTTCGTTTAATTTTAGTTTTAAGATTTTACTGTTGTGGTCTTACTTTCAATGAAATCAGGTGCAACATCGGGGAGTCTCAATTTTCCTCATGCAGGCAGGGATGCTTGGAACCCTTGAAGCACTGTGGGAAGTCTTTCCCTTGTTTACAAATACTGGATGGGGGAGAATTCTAATATTGGGTTCCTGAAGAAACACATGGGGGCTACCTTTGAACAGCGTCCTCAGCCTTGGTTCACCAACATCAGTGTTGATGATATTCAATCTGGTGACTTCCTTGCTATATCAAAAATTCGTGGAAGGTGGGGTGGTTTTGAGACTTTGGAGAAGTGGGTTAGTGGAGCTTTTGCTGGTCATTCTGCTGTTTGCTTAAAGGATTCTGAAGGAAAACTATGGGTTGGCGAATCGGGAAATGAAAATGAACAGGTAATTGGAGCTTGCTAAAATATGTTACAATATAGTACTTCAATGATGCAACTTATAACAGATAGTACAAAATTTAACATCACTGCTGGGTTTTTTTCCTCCGTTTTTTCTTTTTCTTTTTTATTTTCTATTCTTTTTCCAATAATTTATGTGAAGTTTCGATACTGCCCAGGCTATGGCATTTCCCAAAACCATCCCTTTTTAATTCTTTCTGGATATTTGATAGTCTCAGGAGCAACCAAGATAGCCACGTTAATTGTCCTGGATAATTTGAACATTTTCGTACATTTTGCAGGGAGAAGATGTTATTGCTTTGTTACCCTGGGATGAATGGTGGGAATTTGAGCTGAATAAGGATGACTCAGATCCACATATTGCATTGCTTCCTCTGCATCCTGATGTGCGAGCTAAGTTCAATGAGACTGCTGCATGGGAGTATGCTTTGAGCATGAATGGAAAACCTTATGGATATCACAACTTGATATTTAGCTGGATAGATACTCTGGACGGGAACTATCCGCCTCCATTGGATGCCCATCTGGTATGGAAATTGTCCATGTTGATGCTGCTGCTATAATTTTTCTCCCTTCTTATCATGTATACCAGACAACATGTTTTTTTCATTTCTAAAGTAGCCCCCCTCCCCCCAACACACACAACACACACACACAAAGGTTTATTATGATCTGCATCATGCTGTTATCCCTTGATAAGGAAGAAAATTACAGTTGTTAGTTGATTTTCTTGTTTCTGCCTAGTTTGTTTAGGAGAGTTGGCTTTGGCATTATGTCATGATGTTGGATGTTGATGTCTTGATCATGGTTGTCAAATCGAGATTTGACTCAGGAATCGGAAAGCCCATTTTTGGAATCTTGAATCATAAGATTTAGTAACAAATCAAATGGCACTATAAAAGATAAATAACATATTAATTTTTTCTAAAATAAAGGAAAAATGATTGTTTCATTTACAAAATGCACACCAATTCATTTAATATATTAGTTCTTAGTCATTAAATGATCCCAAGTTTCAAAATTCAACATATTGCTCAATGGTACTTGATCATTCTATCAACTCAATAACTTATAATATATCTAAAGCTACCTTCTAACTAGTTAAACTACTAGATCTCCTAGTTTTAATAAAAAGTAATAATCTTTCTCCATGTTGAATGTCACCTTTGTCATTCTTGTTGTCTTTTGTTGTCTTTGGAACTCTTGCTTTCTTTCACCCTTTTCTTTCATTGTGAAAATTTAATATATAATTCATTTAGTTTCAAATAGAAATATTTTCAAAGAAAATTGCTTATGCATTGTTATCATCCGTGAATTCTAGACTAAACCTTCCTATCCTTGTCATCTCTTTTGAATTTATGCATTTTAGTTTCATTTTCTATTTGAGTCGACTCGTAGAGTTCATTGAATCGCACTGAATCAAATCGAATTGTGACTGAATCGTGAGATTCATCTGCATTTAAGATTCACCTCTCAATTTGTATTGTTTTGTATGTGGAATGATTCAAATCGTGAATAGTGAGATTCTAACAACCATGGTCTAATCTAGCATGATGAGAATTTGTAATCTTGATGAAATGAAGCTAGAAGCCTAGTTTATTTGCATGCTACATTTGTGATGGTTAACTGCCATCGAGAAGTTTGAGCCATATGTCGCATCTTCAAAAAACAAGGGGAATTTCACTGAGCTGTTAGGGAGTATCATATAGCTAAAGAAACAAGTGGTGAAAATATTGGTTTCAACCAGCAGCATCAATCAAAAGAATTTTTCCAAGTTTTACAAAACAATTCTTTTGTTTGCATGTATAGCTTTACTATGAGGTTTTTGGTCTTCATAGTTTTGATTGTCAGCTCTTTGGTCCTGCAGGTTGCTTCTGTTATGACAGTTTGGAATCACATGCAGCCTGAATATGCTGCCAACATGTGGAATGAAGCCTTGAACAAACGACTTGGAACTCAGGTATCATAATAAATTGGTTCAGCATTTTTATGCTGCCTGATTAGCCTATCAAATGATTTAAGTTGTTTAGATGCTTCAATCAAATACGTGTATATGTTATCAATAACTGGTTTATTTTTAGGAATTGGTCATTTCTATCCAAAATGATCCCATACAAATTATTAGTCTGTTACTCTCATCCTGTTTCTCTTTAGCTATATCCAGATGTTATGGTTAGTTCTTAATCACCAAGCCACATATCCGAGGGAGTCAAGATGATTAGATCAGTGGATCTGAGTTTTCAAGTGCCTGCTGGTGTTTATTTTTCTTAAGTCAGAAAATTAGGTGTGGCTTATCTTCTAAGCGGTCTGTGTTGTTCTGATTCTATCAACAATTAAATTTTTTAGCTTTTGTGCTTCATGTAGGGCCTTGATCTTCCTGATATCTTGGTAGAAGTTGAAAAGCGTGGATCATCCTTTGGGGAATTGTTGGCAATTCCCGAAATGGATGACTGGCTGTATACTGATGGGAAGTCAACCTCATGCATCGCCTTTATTCTGGAAATGTACAAGGAAGCAGGACTGTTTGATCCAATTGCTAGCTCTGTACAAGTGACTGAATTTACGGTTAGTCTTCCAAGTACTCTAGTTAAATATCTGTGTCATTTGAATCAAGACTTTGATATTTAACATCATTATTCTTTTTGTGGCCAACCAAAAAAAAAAAAAAAGAAGGAAAGTGAGAGAGAGAGAGAGAATCACTAGAAACCCTTTGGTTTTAATGAAGAGCTGTAATAATGGAATGTATTGTGCTCTTCCATCACTGTACCCTGAAGGTATTCATTTTCTTGATGAAAATGCAGATCAAAGATGCTTACATGCTAAGGTTTTTTGAAAACAATTCAAGCCGCCTGCCAAAGTGGTGCAATGATGGAGATGATGTGAAGCTCCCATTTTGTCAGATCAAAGGGAAGTATCGAATGGAACTACCAGCATATAATACCATGGATCCTTACCCCCATATGAATGAAATGTGCCCATCGCTTCCCCCAAAATACTTTAGAACACAGAATTGCTAAATGGCCTTCCTTTTTCTTGATGTTGTTGCAACAATAGTTGATGCCAGTGGCTGCATTGTTCTATGATTTGATGAGTGGAAGCAGCCAAACAGAAGGGTCTGTTACAGAATGTAAATATGGCAATGGTTAGTGTACTACTACATAAAATTTTAGCTGTTAATTCTTTTACATGTATACGGTAGCCACTAGTCTGGACTATTACACAGATCTAGTGTGATTGCAGCCTTTGTCTTAAGCTGAATTGGTCCATAGTTGCTACTTCTACCAGTTATTTTAACAGAACTGGTCACAACTTCCAATTTTAGATATGCTTCCAAAATCTCGTTTGTCGCATGCAATTTCATGTAAGAGTAGAGCAAGATACTTTGCGTGTTGCATTCTCAAAAATGTTACCATTTGGGAATACTCATCCTGTATGTTTTAGTCTGTTAAAGTGCCAGTATTACGCCATTCAAATCGCACATTGCAGAAGGTAGTTGCGGTGTCACTAGTTTCTTTAATTTGGACATATTATTCTTGGTTTTGGTAGCAACCCTCAAACTTAATCAAGTGAATCTGCCCTGCATTTGGTGTCTTATGCTGGTGTTTTTATGGTTAACAGTGCATAAAGTAACCTTTCTGTAACAAATAGGATAGTGCTATGCAGTCAAGACTTAAGGCTGGTGTTAGCACCTAACGTTTCCTCCCAAAAAAATACAAAATGAAAAGAGTGAAAAAAGGGACTTAAAAGTACAATTGAAGGATGCAATTGAAAAAAAAAGAGAGAGAAGGACTTGAATAAAATAAGCTCGCAAGATGAGAGACCAAACTGAATTTTAGCAAAAAAAAATTAAAAAATCAATATAAATACCTTTTTTTTCCCATCTCTTATGGGACTCTCTCTAAAAGAAATTGCTTGGCCATATCTCTCTCTCTCTCTCTCTCTCTCTCTCTCTCTCTCTCTTAGTTTCAACCAATATGGTATTCGCTATTCGGTAAAAATCAAATAATCGAACAAAATTACGTCGAAATATCAATTTCGAAGTTTTTTTAAAAAACTTAAAAAAATAAAATGAAATAATTTTGGTTTTCAAATTTGATTTTTTTAAAAAAATTCGGTTAATTGAAAAAATGAGTTTTTTTTTTAATATATATATATGTGTGTGTGTGTATTAAGTCGGATCATTCATTGTACCTCCAAATTGAAAAACTCTTCTCCTCTTGATGCATTTCCTCTCATAATTTTGTACGTGCTCTCTCTTTCTCTATTACAAGTCTAGATATACACGAAATAATAAAGACATTGATAGATTTTTTATTATCTCCAATTCAAGCCTTATTGCGCGGACAACTTATTTTTTGTTTATCTCGCTAATACATTTGTTTTTTTATTGGACACAACTTAGTTTCCTAATGTAACGCCCCCAACGTATGATCTAAAAGGTTGAGACTATTATCATTGTTAACCTACATTCGACGCGCAAAGAATACAAGCTAACAAGGTACTATGACTTAATCTTAATATTTAAGGAGTAATCTATGGTATAAAAACCTAATATTGGTAAGGTATGTCCTATACTTTAATTAAAAAACGTTATAATTTTTTCGCGCTTTATTATTCTGTTCACATTTTTTAAGTTGGGATTATTGGTTTCGTGGCAACTCGTTGTTTTATATTCTTTCCTTATTAATTATTGCAAATTTATCTAGCGTTAATTTATTATCATTATTATATTATTTATCTTTTTTCTTATTTACCATTCATTTTATTTGGCACGTGTTTAATTATGTTCCTTAAGTGTCCTAAGGATACTAACATGCAATGGACAATTTAAAATAACTATGCTATTACAAGTATATTATCATTTCACTATTAGTATTTCGGTTACATATATATACCAATTACATACAAAACCAATTATATGCCAACTATTATAAAATTGGCTTATTGACTAATTACATCATTTTAAAAGTACTATATTTACTTATTCATGGCTTTCAACATAACATAGAACAGTCCAACTAATTCTAACACATACAGGACAATAGCCAATACTAAAAACGAAATAGCATGCAATAGATCCACCTGGAAGCTGAACCTCCATTCAAGGTATATAAGTTTGGTGCACCCTTCGGAGATCAGCTTAGCCAAGAAATAGGTCATCGTACCTTAATTATCTACATCACAAGGAACTAAATGAGCAACAACTCGGTAAGTTAACTGATACATATCATGTATTTGCATGCATATGCATATGTTAAACACTGATATATGCAAGTTAAAATCCTTTTTCCGTGTCTTGTTAGTTGTAGGAGACTTTTGTGTTCCTTTGATTTTATTGTTGTGGCTATTATTTTTGTTAGTTGTAGGAGACTTCTATGTTCCTTTGATTTTATTGTTGCTGTCAGTTCTGGTATTGTGGTGCCTCTCTCCTTGTCCCTGTGGCATTGTTGCAGCTATCCGTCCAATCGGAGGTGGTGTTCGTTCTTTTGTTAACTGGGATTTTTCTGCTTCTCTGTTAGTTTGGTTGTGGCTTGTTTCACTTAGTTTCAGTCGTTTTGTTTTCAGTTTCCTTAGAGTTGTTACTCAAAAAAAAAAAAAAAAAAGGAAAGCTGTTAAATCTTGTATATGTATATAGCAGCCAGAATGTGGACTATATATTACAGAGAGAATGCAATTGTTTCACTCATTCCTTTCCATGATTGAAGCCTTTTTTCCAGCTCAATTGGTCCATTGTTGCCACTTCTACCAGTTACTAACAAAATTGGTCAGAACTTCCACTTTTGATATGCTTCAAAAATACCATTTGTCAAATTCATTTGAGGCAAGTTTTGAACAAGATATTCTGTTGTGTCATTCTCGAAGATGTGTATAATTTGGTATGTTTAGTGCTAGTACTATGATATTTGAATCATTCGTTGTAGATCTGAGACTAGGATGGGTAATTGCCATCTTATTCATTTGCTTACTTTGACATTTTATCCTTCTTTTTGGTAGAAATCATCAAAGATTGATCAAGTGAATCTGCTCTGCATTTGGTGTTTTGGTGCTAAAAAATGCATGACTGTAACCTTCCAATAGCATGTAGGAATTAGGATAGTGCTAAGTAGTCAGTAGACTCAAGGCTGCAATACAAGAACATTTCTTTTTCATGGTACAAACGTGCTTAGACCACTCCTATTATTTAGAAGCTAGGATGTTACATTTGGCTTCTGCACGATTTGGATTGGTAATCCTTTAGTTGGAACTGGCATTGGATCCCTTTTGAAAAAATTGTCAGCCAGCAACTCCCATGTAAACTGAGTGACGAGATGATGGATTGTAACTAGGGTTTCAATCCTTGCAAACTCATATCCTGGACACATCCGAGGGCCCCCTCCAAATGGAATGAAGCAGTAAGGTGGAATTGAAACTTGGTTTTCAAATCTGCTCGGATCAAATTTCGATGGTTCTGGGAATATGGTATTGTCCGTGTGGGTCATATTTGTAACCCAGAATATCTAAATATCAGAAAAAGAGGTATCCAGATTAATGCCGCGCACTAAAGCAACAAAGACAGAATGAATAATGAGGCGTTTGCGTTCTCTTACTTGCCATCCTTCAGGAATAAGGTATCCATCGTATTCTATATCTTTCACAGCTTTCCTGAAGCCACCAAAGATAGGAGGGAACATTCTCAAGGTTTCCTGTGCTACTCTCCATGTGTACTTCATCTTAGCAAGCTCCTCCCAAGTTAAGAGTTCTCCCTTGGGCTTGCTATTCGCGATCTCTTCTTGTTCTGCAAAACAAAAAGATAATACTGATAATTGACACACAACTCATTTCGGTGTTTGTGTTCAAAACATTGCTGCGTATTTGTGTTAATTATGCAACCCAGTTTTCCAGTAGAGAAAATTCAGTTGGTTGCAAAGTAAAAGAAAATGTCATGAATACCTTTTAGAATAGCTGCATAAACTGAAGGTTCATTAGCTAAAAGTTGGATCAGGAAAGTTATCAGAATAGATGAAGTGTCATGTCCTGCAGTCATAACAAGGATAACATTGTCCACAATCTCCTTCTCAGTTATCACTTCTCTATTGTTTTCATCACGAGCGCTAAGCATGCAAGTGATCAGGTCTTGCTGCGGATTAGTAGCATCCTTCTGTGCAAGTTTCAACCTCTTTTCGTCTATGAAATCGTTCACCATCTTTCGAATCCCAGCACTTGCCTGAAGGCTGCGGTTATATCGTGTGAAGGGAAAGTTAATGGGCGTTGACCACATCCCCTCGATCATTTCTTGAAACCAATCCACAAGTTTCTCTCTTCTAGCTCCTCGTTCGATTCCAAACAGAAGGGTGCAAATGATGTTGAATGTTAGTGTCTTCATCAAGGGCAGGGCCTAATAATTGAACAGCACAAGAAACTCTCTTTAACTTTGTTTCTTCATCAAAGAATAATTAATTATTTGCTAACAATAATGTCGCCATACCTTAACCTCTTGCTTGCCTTGCCAATGCATCTCAATATGAATCCTTACTTCCTCATCCATTTTTCCCACATACCGCTTCAGCGATTCAGGATTCAAAAACAGGCCAATTGCATCCCTGACACCCTTGTGATCTTGGCCACTGAGTTCCAGCAAACATCGATCCCCCAAAAGTGCCCTGACAGATTGTGTTTGACTGTTGGAGAGAGTGCTGGTATCACTGGTGAACACAAATTTGTTTGCATCCTTTCCATATATGAAAACTGTTGGTTTGCCAAAGAGGCTTAACTTTGATATCGGACCATATTTTTGTATTCTTTGTTGAAGCCATTTTTCTGCAGTATTGGCTCTCATAGCTCGAAGAAGGTGTAGGCTATGGCCTATGATGGGAATTCCCAGTGAACCTGGAGGAACCCTTTTTGATGATCTTCTTCCCTTGGTAAGGAGAAGGAAGATAGGGACAAGGAACATAGAAATTATGAAGAGGGTATTCATTTTTCCTTCACTTTTGGGCTGATGATGGAGAGAGAGAGAAGGCGAGCAGTTGGTGTACAGGCTGACTAAAACTTAGAGAGGGTGAGATATTACGTAAAAGGATGAGAGATAAAGAGAGCAGTTGCAAAAAGATTCTGTAGAAGACCTTCGATATCAAATGATAAAATGATGCCATTTAAAGGTTTTGTCCTTTGGTTCTTGATCCAGTCTTAATACTGATTAATACTTAAAGACAGATGTTTCGATGTTTTCATAGGTGCCGGAGCAGTGTGGTCGGTGATAGTTTCAGACAGATAGATTATGTTTGTGTAAGTAAACCTGTCAGCAATAGGTCCTAGTTGTTTTGTTCTAGATGTTGCTTCCATTAATGTCATTTAGTTTAGGACTTCTCTGGAGGCTTTAGGTTCATCGGTCCAAGCATCCATTGGAATATTGGAACTCACTGGTTTGGGACAAAAATGGTGTAATCAGTGTTATACTTAGATAATTAGCAATATAATTAGATGATACGTATTATTTTATAAAATTTACAAATTATAAATAATATGTGTACATATAATTTTTTTGATTAGCCTAATGCCATATTCAGAAAAAAGTTTGGAGAATAGAACCATCTAACAATAATTAGCAATATATTTAGAGGATTTTTTTTTTTTTTTTTTTTGCAAGTATTATGAACATCATCAATCACGTTATTTTAACAACAATTATTAAAGAATCATATCAAAAATTTTATAATACTCAAAAAATAACTAATACCACGTATAATAGTTACTTCATGGATCCATTTAGAAGAGAATGATAGACATATAAAATTATATCCGGATCAACCAAAAGTGATAAGAAAATTTCCACATTCGTTCAATTTTTTTTATTTTTTATGTCTACCTCTCTTTTCAAGTGAGTCCATGAAATAACTACTATATATGTCATTAATTTCTCTTTTAATTATTATCTTTAGAGTTTCACCAACGGAACCTTATCAATAAGTATCACATAAATGTTATCGAGGATCTTTGCTACGGTTTTGTCAATTTGATTCCACAAGAAACAGGACAAAAAAGATCAACTGATGCTAAATGATTCATGCTCTCTAGTAGCTGCTTTGAAAGAGTCCTCTATCTGTATTCTTATGGGGTTAAAACTACCTGATGTCTTGGTCTGGGCTATATCATTGAGCCACATCTATTTCTACCAGTCACTAAGAACTTTGTGGTTTTCAGCACTGGAATTTCATTCACAAAGGCGGTGGAATAATGGAAAGAGATAGATTGCTTCATTCTCACAACACTTGTGTGAAATTCCACCGTTATCGTCTTCCTTGTCTGTGGAACAATGCAAGACCGTGGTCCGTTAATGGTTCATGGTAAAATGTTCACAGGAATTCTGCATGTCTCCCTGGTTTTTACGGGTCCTTTCCTTGATAAGTCCTAAGCAAGACATTTACCATTTAACTGATGCATTTACATTTCGCAATAAAATTTTCTGTCTTTCAGTCTAATGTTAGATTCAAACATGAGATACATGAAGAGCAACTTTTCTACTTAGTTGCTTAAAAAAAATGAGACATTTTATTCCTATATTCTCGGTTTTTTTTTTTTTTTAAATCATCGTATTCTACCCTTTTATTATTGGTTTTGTTAATATTTATATTCTTCCGTCCATTTCCATTACAAAAAAAAAAAAAAAAAGATTAGAATCCTTAAAAAAAACAACAATACAGGAGCAAAATGTGGTATTTTCCCAGATTCCAAGTCTTACACATTTCAGAAAATGACTTCTTAGAAGAACCATATTCGATGAATTTGACTAATAAAATACAGAAATTGATGCAATATTATTAGGAAAAAACAGACAAACCCACCAACCATATATAATTTCGTTGAGGGGGAAAATGAGGTTTTTCTTAAAGATTTTTTTCCCCTAACACAGTAGTATTCAATTTGTCAAAGTTATGGTGAAGTAGAGAATTGTCAAACCATTGCTATTCATTTTTTATTGCTATGGTCTATTCGAAAAACATATATCAATGTCAAAGGAACTGTCTAATTAAAAATGTCAAATGGACTTGTTCTAAAATCTAGAAATTTTGTTTTCTACCAATACATCGATGACATTTACTATATTTTAAGACTAATAAGAACAATTCAATCAACGTTATATGTTATTTTCTCTCTCTCACACACACAAAAAAAAAAAACTACGTGCGTTATCCAAATCAATCGTTGTAGGCTGTATAAATTATGGTTATTTATGCAAGTGAACTAAATTAATGCATCTCAGTTCTAAATGGTCCAGAGCAAAATTTAATGTTGCTACCAATACAAATATTTCTCTTCTTTTGAAAAGCTAGAAGGCATTTAACTCAATCCGTGAAAAAGCATTAACTATCTCGCAATCAAGTAAGATTACATATCTTTTCAAAAATCTAGACACAATAAGTCTACATAAATAAAGATTATCGAAATCATTCTATAGAAATAAAAACTATTACATTATTGTTAGATTTAACCACAAAAACTAAATCAATGAATGAGTCTCGAGAACATATATTGGCCATAGCAACCATAGAGGTCTAAATCAATTTTAAACAATTAAGTTTTCATCAAATGGTAAACATGTGAGTCTATAGTCTATATTGAGTAATTGGCCTGCAAAAGTAGAGGTTTACTATAAATAAACTTGCAAAACTTGTGTTGAGTACTAAATCTTAGAGATTTATATGAGTTAATTGGAAGGAGTTTACATCAAGCAGAGTGCTTGCAAAGTTTTTTTTTAAAAAAAAAAAAGAAGAAGAAGTTAAATTGTATGAAAAAAAAAAATTTAAATAGATGCGAAGCTTGTAAAATTTAAAAGCATGTAAAGAAAAACAATAAATAAAGTTGTAAGGGATTGAGTAAATAACACAATAAAAAAAGTATAATGATAAAACATAGAGCTATAAACAATAAACTTACAAAAATTAAATTACAAAAAAGATTAATTTGCAAAAAACTTAAAAAGTTTGTATTAAAATTGTGTATCGGGATAGATGCTAGAGAATTTCAATGTGGGTGTTCCTTTATTTATACTATTCTAAGTCTTAAGACTCAAGACCTACTTGAAATAAAAGTAGTAGTAGTAGTAGTAGTAATAATAATAATAATAACCGACCTACGAGTCAGTTTTTAATTAAAATAAAAAATTTTAACTACGACAAATATTGATCTTCAAACTAGACAAATAATAATAATAATAATAAGTACTCTAAACAAAATAAAATTTTGAATCCTTTATGACTAAATAAGAAAACAATCCATTGTAGAATTTGTATAATTTTTTAAAATAATCTCAATCACAAAATTTTCTAAATCTAAAAAAATAGTGTGTAGATCAACATGTCTTGCCAAACAATTCCTTCGGATATCGATCGTTTAAGCTGTTAAGTTTTCATTGGACGTCAAATCCCACACATATTTAATTATAGTTTTAAATATTTATTTTTGGTATCAACAAATACATAGCTAGATGAAGTATTAACTATAATGGTTAGGTTAAAAAATTGACAATGTGGCCATATTTTTAATTTACAAGATGCCTTTACTAAAAGGGAAAAAGACAATCAAGCTCCATTAACGTTGTAATCAAATAATCAATCAAGAACGACATAAAGAATGACTAGAATAAAATATGACTAATTAGGTTGAATTTGTTAAAATTTTAAAGCGTTAGTCTTCTTCTGTAGTGCATCTCATTAGGCTGCAACTAGCATTTTCCATCACATGGATTGAAAAAAAAGTTAAAATTATTGTTTATTTTGAGTGTCAACAAATAATTAATGAATAGATCAATTATTAACAAAACAAGTATTGACAATTGGGCCATATTAAAATTTTTAATTTACAAGGACAATCAAGTTTCATTCAAATTGGAATCAAATAATCAAGAACAACATAAAATATATCACTAAAATAAAATATGAATTAGGTTGGATATATTTATTAAAATCTTAGTCTTCTTTTTTATATAGTGCCATTTTTGATTACTTAGACGGTTTGAAAACATTGTTAAATTTATTGTTTATTTTTTATACTTTAATTTATTGTCTTTTATATATAATAAACATACTTAAATTTATGGAATCTCTTTGTTGCACAAATTGTTTTTCATGCTGGTTGTGTTTTGTTAGGAAGATGGATTACATCGGGTCGGGTCCAGAAGGCTACAGAAAATTTGCATTTTTTATCATTATATATATATGTGTGTGTGTGTGATGTATATTTTTCAATGCATTTGGAGCAATTACATGCATGGATTGCCTGAATGTTTTGGACAAAAGGAAGAAGAAAAAACTTGGATTACCTTATTGCATTTGCAGCAATTACATAGAGAGTGAACAAACATTTCCAAAAATTCATACTATTTATAAGTTTTTTTTTTTTTAATTGAGTTCCATGATTTGTTTCAATTGCAAGTTGTATTGCACCCAGCAGCTCCTATAAGAAAATTTATAGTTAGAGGGTAAACTTTTGATTAGACTATTTTGCTTTCTTTATTTACTTCTTTTTTTAAAAAAAAAAAAAAGAAAGAAAGAGCCCGTGCAAAAAGCTGGCTAGTGAAAACAAAGTAGCCAAAAACTAAAATACACACAACAATTTGCCTAACAACTGTATAATATAAAAGGCTATTACGTTTCTTAATTTAAACTGTCAAATTAAATCATGGGAAAAAATATAATAATATCCTTAATCTGGCCCCCCCCCCCCCCCCCCCTTTTTTTTTTAAAAAAAAAAAAAAGACACAACTTGTAATATTTAATGGTTGCACCAGCATTCTCCTCCCTCGGTATCGACAACCTGAAATCCTGCTAACGTGGGTGCATGTGTTAATGTATTAGATATTTCAATATAGTCAGAACTGTCTACTTGCTTTTATTTCATATAAATCTTGCATATCTAACTATATATTGTCAAGTCATTTGGTAAGTAGGTTTTCTCCTCACATTATGTTTTGAATATAAAAAGTTGCCTAAATTTGATTAAAAAAATTTTAGTGGGAAGAAAAATGAAAAAAAAAATTGCAAGTTAACTATATTAAAAAAGAAAAAGAAAATTAAACTTCGATTTCCATATAATATGGATCTTTTCAAATAAAAAAAATGGTAACCTACTTATGATATATATATATATATGTTGGTGTTTGTTAAAGATGTGAACATTGATGTTCATGGAGATCGATTAAGATATACTAACATTCGATCAAGTCTAATGATAAGAGAGTTGTTTTGATTTAATAAATATAAAGATTTAATTTTATTATGTAAGAATAATTGATCATAATTATTTTTAGTAGTATTAAGTTTGAATTTATCATAGAAGCAGACAGAAATTAGGTGAATTGTTAGATGGATGACCAAAGATGGGCTACCCTGGTTCCTGTTTCCAGATGTTTTGGTTTTTTTAATTTTTAATAGGAGAATGAAAACAAGAGAAAGTAGAGACAGGATCACCAGAAGTGATGCATACATGAGGTTACCATACACCACATTTTCTATAGAGCACATTGGATTTGACGGCAGTGATCAGCTGACGAGAAAGGCCTGGATCGATATTACATTTTATTTCCTTGGAATGATTTGGATTGGTAATCCTTCAGATGGCATGAGCCTTGGGTTCCTGCTGAAACTAGCGTCTGCACATAACTTCCATGTAAATTGAGTGACCAGATAATGGATCGTAACAAGCGCTTCAATTTTTGCAAATTCATATCCTGGACACATCCGAGGCCCTCCTCCAAATGCAATAAAGCTGTAAGGTGGAATTGAGGCTTGGTTGTCGAATCTGGTCGGATCAAACTTCGATGCTTCGGTGAATATGCTATCATCCATGTGGGTCATATTCATAGTCCAGAATATCTATATATTAGAGACAGAGAAGGGCTCAGTTTAATGTTATGCACTAAATCAGCTTAGGAAGATAGAAAGTGAAAACTGGGGATTTAACTCACTTGCCACCCTTCAGGAATGATGTATCCGTCGTATTCGATATCCCTAACAGCTTTCCTGAAGCCACCAAAGATGGGAGGGAACATTCTCAAAGTTTCCAATGCTACTTTCCATGTGTACTTCATCTTGGCAAGGTCCTCCCAAGTTAACAACTCTCCCTTGGGCTTGCTCTTAGCTATCTCTTCTTGTTCTGCAGAGATAACATCAATAAAGTATGTAAAATTATCAAGATGTATTTTTCGGCAAGCTTTTGGAGAGTGAAAGGTCATCCATACCTTGTAGAACAGATGCATAAATTGAAGGATCAATAGCTAAAAGCCGGATCAAGAAAGTTATCAGAATAGCTGAAGTGTCATGTCCTGCGGTCAAAACAAGAATAACATTATCGACAATCTCCTTCTCGGTCATCCCTTCTCCATTGTTTTGGTCACGGGTACTAAGCAAGCAAGTTATGAGATCCTGGTGAGGATCAGCACCCCTTTTCAGTTGCATCCTCTTTTCAGCTATGAGATCCTTCAAAAAGTTTCGAACCCTTGCACTTGCGCGAAGGCCACGGTTGAAGCGTGTGAATGGCAAGTTAATGGGGACTGACCATATTCCTCCAATCATCTGCTGAAACCAGGTCACGAGTTTATCTCTTCGAGTTCCTGCTTGCTCGATTCCAAATAGAAGGGAGCAAATGACGTCGAAAGACAGCTTCTTCATGAAGGGTAGAACCTAGTAGCAAGCAGAAACAACTTGTTTTAGTCATCTTACTTTAACCAAGGACAAGTTATTTATAGCAAACTTGATAACGTACCGTGATCTCTTGCTTTCCTTGCCAATGCATGTCCATGTGCATCCTGACTTCCTCATCCATTTTCCCGACATAGTTTTTCAATGATTCAGGCTTTAGAAATGAAACAAGTGCATCCCTGATGCGCCTGTGATCTTGTCCACATAGTTCTGCTATACTTCGATCTCCCAAAATCATCTTCAGAGACTTTGTTTGACTGTAGGAGATCGTGCTGCTATCGCTGGTGAATACAAACTTGTTTGCCTCCTTTCCATATATGAAAACAGTTGGTTTTCCAAAGAGGGTCAACTTTGATATCGATCCATATTTTTGTATCCTTTCGTGAAGCCATTTTTCTGCAGTATTAGTTCTCATTGCTTTGAGAAGCTGCAGGCTATGGCCTATTATGGGAATCCCCAGTGAACCTGGAGGTAGTTTCTTCGATGATTTTCTGCCCTTGACAAGAAGAAGGAAGATGGGGACAAGGAACATAAAAATGGTGAAGAATGGATTCATTTTCCTTTTTCTTCAGGGTTCGTGAGTGTATGTGTTAGGAATGGGGGCTCTGCAGCTGCTTCAGAGGTAGGTTTAGAGACTGAGCAAGTCAACTAAATCGGAGTACTCAAGGGGACAAATTATAGACAAGGCTATCTTAGGATTCGGATTGTAATATTTAAGATTTTGCCCCAAATATGCCTTTAGTGGAGTTTAGCCCTACAAAAGATTAATGTGGACATTTTTTTGACTGATCTTACCGACAAGCAATCAATTATTGATCTTGATTATAATGTTAATACAAGATGCATGAACGCTTGTTCTGCATTGTAGACCTCACTGTGTGGGTTAGTAGCTATCATCAAATGTCATTTGTCAAATTCACATCAGATAGATGATGCTATGAGAGTAAAATGTGAAGTTCTCTGTACATGATTTTAATTTTAAATAACGATCGCTATGTTATCATGTAACAATAAAATAACATATCGGCTATTATATAATAGTAATGGAATACTCTATTACCGTTATTCAACTTTATATATGCTCTAACACTGTTTCACTTATATAATGATAAATAATGATGTTATCGTTATATAACGATAGTTATAATGTCATTATTTACTATTATACAATGGCATTATATATTAAAAATACTTAAAATTCTGCTCTATTCAATTATCAACACAAAAAATGAAAAAAAAACAAACGGGACTTGTAGGAAAGATTGATTGAAAATTAGGGAGAGAAAAGAAAGTTGAATAAAGGAAAACTTGGTTGAGAAAAAGAGAAAAAAGGAGGATGAAGAAAGGAAAGCTCGGTTGAGAAAGAAAGAGAGAGAAGAGAGTGAAGAAAGGAAAATCTGATTGAGAATTTGAAAGGAAGAAGAGAAAGCCGTGAGTTAAACCGAAGAAAAGATAGATGGACAAAGAAAAAAAGAGATTGACCCATCACCAAACGCAGATTTATTTGAATAAGTTATAAATGAGTCTCTTAGTTTGAGAAAAAAAATAAGTTGGCCTTTTTGTTTTAAAAATAAATTATTTAGTCCATTTTAAGTTTTTTTTTTAAATTTATTTTGCTTTTTGCTTAAAACAATTATACCATGAAAAAATTGATGAAAAAATATTTTATGAAATAAAATAATATTATATTAAATATGATAAACAATCATAAAAAAATTAAATAATTAATTTTTGAAAAAAAAATTAATTCAGTTATTAAAACTAAAGAGACTAATGTATAATTTAGTCTCTACTATTCAACCAAATTTCAAGTTGCGGCACCAAGTTCAAAAACCTGCTGGAATGCAGGCTTCAAGTGAGTAAAATATAAATTAGTCCCCTTAGTTTGTAAAAATAAATTAATTAGTTCGTATTGTTTCAAAAACCAATTATTTAGTTATTTTTATCTATTTTATGTTATTTTCTAATTTTTTAATTTTAAAAAATAGAAAAATAAATAAATAAATTTATATCATAAAAAATGAAAAAAAATATTTTGTAAAATAAAATAATATTACATTAAATATAATCACCAATAATTAAAAGATAAAATAATTAATTTATTATTTTTTGTGTGATTAATTTTTTTAATAAATTCAACTATTTTTATATAATATTAAACTATTAAATGTGTCATTAGTTATTAGTATGTTTAAATTAGTAAAATTATTAAAAATATATGAATTAGAATAAATTTATTTATAATTATTAATATATTTATGATATCGATTACCGTGTTTATTATTTTACTATCGTGATAAATTGCGATCCATAATCGCGATCACGATCGTTTTGTCAATCGCCATCGCTATTTAAAACTATACTTCTATCTATTGCTGTCCAGTGGTCGAGAAAGGGCAATATTTTTGGGTATGGGAGAGGACAAAGATTACATCTTTGTACAGAAAAACCCCAGTCAAGATGCAATAATACATTAATACTAACACAAAGTAACCATAAATAACTAAAAACTAAGGCAGCAGACTGGTGCACATGCGAAAAGATACAGAATAGCAGCATGTGGTGGTTCACATTTCTGGAAATCAATGTTTTTTAATCAAGTACAAAAAATAGAATTTATCATCCACATGCAAAAGCTTTCCACGCCATGTATAAACTTAGAATATGCATTATCATTTAATCCTTTAGTTTAACAAGATAGATCACACCAACTCTCTTTCAACACAGATAATCCAACAAGTAAGTTGCTGTTGCAGATTTTATCTTACCTGCAATATATATAATACAGCAGGCATTATTTTAATTAGAGGTCTGCATCCATACAGCGTTGGCCCATTGAAGAAAAAATCAGTGCAGCTATGCAAACTTTTTCGAAGGGCATATTGATTGGAAGGGGACAACTATTCTCAACACAGTATGAACAGTAGAGTAAAAAAAATAAAAAGCCCCCCCGATGTTTTCTCCATTTCTAACTATGTCATTATGAACAAAGAAAGATTTCAATTTGGAAAAAAATGTTGCATGGATTGAGTCAGTCTAAGTAGACTAAGACCAATTAAATCGATTACAATAAGGCTGAGATGAGAACTGGTCTGAGAGCACTTGAAATCAATGTGTCTAGTCAGGACATAAGAGATTTCATCAAATTGTTTCCAGACTTTTTTCCTTTTTCTGAAAAGAAAATGAGAAGAGATTTTATTGAGAGAAACAGGATGCATACAAATGATACATTACAAGAGCTTTTTCTGCACAATTGGATTTGACAGCAGCTCTGTTCATACAGTGGCCAGGATGTTATATTTATTTCTTTGGCAGGACTTGGTCTGGTAATCCTTGAGATGGCATGAGCACTGGAAGCCGACTGAAAGAACTACCTGCACACAACTTCCATTTATATCGAGCGATCAGATTGTGAATTGTAACAAGGGCTTCTATTCTTGCAAATTCATATCCTGGACACATCCTAGGCCCTCCTTCAAATGTAATGAAGCAGTATGGTGCAATGAAGCAGTATGCTACTTTTCTGACACTTCTGGTTTCATCAGAAGCAGTCTCCCTTAATTCATGTTGATGGTTCTTTAAAAAAAGTCTATTTTGAAATTGATCTATTATAGACCTTGGTTTTATTAGGTAAAGCTGAAATCCTGGTTAGGGCTGTCATTAAGCCTCCTCGTTTCAGCAGTGAACATTAATACAGGCAAGCTCTGTGGGATAAAGAAAAGATAGACACACGCAACTGGCACTAATGTCTGCCTCTCCCTAAGAAATCAAAACTACCAAATCTTGATATTAATTTGTTTGGCTTGAAGTCCCATACAAATTCAAATTCCACTCTTCATATTTTCTTCGTGTAACGTTGCGATTTTCTACAGAACCTCATTCATGCGAGCACTGCAAGAAAACACAACGCATAGCTCATACAAGTTTACAACTTGAAATGTGCATGTTACTGTCAACTAAAAGGAAACTTTAACAGTAAAGCTTAGAAAATATTTGATCAGATGATTGACAACATAAAAGGTAACATGCAGCAGAAAGATGCAATAACTAGTACACATGAGAAATACTGAAAGCAACATTAATTGCATCACAAGTCTGAAATGAATTGGTCATCTACTTGCTATTGCTTTACAGCATGTGTTAGAAACAAAATATGATTTAGATTTCCATCAAATACCTTTTTACTAATCATATTAATCCCTTCATTTATCCAACAAAATTACACTCTCTTTCTTTCTTTCAAAATTATTTCTGTCTCTCTTACTCTCTATCAACATCATATAATCCAACAAGCAAGTTGCAGGAACAATAATAGAACACGATTGATTTTACCTTATCCCAGCAACAATACCAGCAGGAGAAGGCATTATCCATAAGGAAGATAGAGCATTGGCCCATACATACGTCAATAATGCAGCTTCGCAGATCATACAGTTTGAGAGGACAGGAATCAGTGCAAAGACAAATTTACGTGTTGAATGTAGGGAGATATGAAATGTGGTCATAGCTGAAAGAACTTGAGAAATTTCATTGTTTGGTTATTTAGTGGATCTAAAGTTGCACCTTGCTGTTAGGCTTGGCAACACATACCCAACAAACCTACTGGGTTACATATCCATCCAAGCCACTCCAATTTGGCTGGCGTTTTATTTGATTTAACCAAAGAATAGGACCGCCACAATGGATGGGGCATGTTAGTGCCCATCCAATTCCCAAGTCTGTGCCAGAGTTCCTTCGACAGCAGGGTTTTCCGAGTACAGAAAGACGAAGAAGAGGCTGTGGTTTATGATATTCTTTGCCGTCATTGGACCATTTGACTAGACAGAAACATGAAGTTTCTAGGAACAGAATGAACTCTGGATGGGGAATTTTCCATTAATATTTGACAAGAAACAATCCGTAAGGATTTCCCATATTCAAAAAAATCGAACCTCTTAAACAAAATGAGCTGATCTCAATTCTAGTTCTCAGGAAAGAAAACAAAGCCTCAACTTCTAAACCACCCTCAGCAATTATGTCGAAATAGAAGCTGGTATGGAGGTGTTCTTGGGGACTGGCATGGTCACTTCAAATGCATTTTTTCTTGTCCTATAGGTAAGTTTTTTCTCCCAAAATCCTCGTCAAAGATTGTGTTTGGCTGTTGGGGACTGTGCTGCTATCGCTAGTGAATATAAACTTGTTTGCAGCCTGGACTTATATGAAAACAGGTGGTTTGCCAAAGAGACTTGGCTTCGATATCGGACCATGCTTTTTGTGCTCTTCTTTGAAACCATTTTTCTGCAGTATTGGCTCTCATGGCACGCTGAAGGTGCAGGCTATGGCCTATTAAGGGAATTCCCAGTGAACCTGGAGGAACCTTCTTTGATGAACTTCTTCCCCTGGTAAGGAGAAAGAAGATGGGGACAGGGAAAGATAAAAATGGTAAAGAATGTATTCATTTATACAGATGTGAAGTTAAAGTTGACTTAGTACGCGAACTAGATCTGAGAGTAACGAGGACTGTTTAATTCCTTTTGGCCTTGGGTGTCATTAGGCCATAATTTGCGATTAACCCTATATAAATCTGTTGTCATCTCTGCAGATGGATTGCAGATTTAGAGGTGTGAACTAGAGCAGATACAAGGTTAGGTGGTAAGCCTGGTAAAAAAATTGATGTGGGACACATTTATGCCTAGTTTGACCTTATACCAGCAACGGACAACATTCATCTTGCTCAGATATAAATATTATATAAACAGGGTTGACTTATTGGTTGTTTTTGGCTGTCCTTATCATGTGGTTTAAGATCAGTCATCAAATTTGATTTGCGAAAGTTAAAGCAGGTAGATGGTGTTGTGAAAGCGATATGTATAGTTACATTAGTTCCCAGTTTTTTGTCTTGGTTTAATACAGTGCATTTCTAAGGTTTTTCATCCTTCAATTTCCTCCTTGTCCTGCATCACATGAAGACTATCTGTTTAACAATCAAACCTAAAATAATAACTTCGAGGCAGATCTGAAGCCTGAAGGCTACCGGGTAAAACTTCACTCCTCGTGTTTTCTTCCTCTAACGTTGCTTTTTGCCATGCTTCTCACGAAGGAAGATTAGACTTGAGAGATTCCTAAGGAAATCAAGACTTCCATCTGCAAATGGATAGAATGTTTCCAAATAACCTATCACCTCCAATTCTATCATTTCGTACCCATCAGTATTTATTTACCAGTCAGTTGAAGGAGAAAGGGAGAATAAGGAAAGAAGAAAACCGAAAAGGTACAAACATAATGCAGAGAACGCACCAACAGAGCTAGAAACCGGGTTTGTACTTTTGAACATTTTACTTCGTACATTTAATAGCTACAGCACACACCGGTAAAAATCAGTTGAAAAGTTCAAAAACTCTCAATACAAATATTTGAGTTTCTATAATCTCATTACATCTATTGAAATCAGTGATATAAAAACCCTCAAAAGCCTTCACTCAGCCTTAGCTGGAATGTGGTTGCCACCCGTTGCAATTTTATACAGATAAAACAGAGTCATGAGAGCACTGCAAGAAAACACAACAGTAAGGTGATTACTAGATCAACTGTCTAGCTAAGTAAAAGCTAACACATAGTGGCATGATGCAGTTATGCACAACACAAAAGTCAGGAAGAACCAAAAAATATTTAGCAGTAAATATTATATGGCTTTTAGAATATTAGATCAAAAATTTCACAAAGCAAAAAACATCGCATAGTGGCATGATGCAATTACACACATTACATCAACCATGAGAAAAAAGATATTTTAGGCAGTAGTGCATACAAAGAAACTGGGCATGAGAATGTTTCTCTCACATGTTCTATACCAATACAATGCCAGAACAGGTGGAGTACAGATTTCCAGACCAAAAAATCAGATTGGATTGTTCTCATGTGATTTACATTTTGCACACAAAAGAGTACAGAAAATACAAAATAAATTCAGCCAAATGCGCAATAGATACCAGCTAACATAAGGGGATGAAAAGTGAGGGGGAGTACAAAATAAAAAGCAAATGCATATGGTGTTGAATTTCATGAATTTTTATATCTACTAATCAATTCCTATGATATTAGAGCAAATATGAAGCACGATATGGGTATTGCACATGTAATCAGAAAAGAAAGTAGCAGGAAAACAAAAGAGCACGATTTATCTAACCTGATACCAGCAATAATACCAGCAGGCATTATCTTTGAGGTTTGTATATAGCGTTGCCCCATTACAATCGTCAGTATAGCTGCACAAACTGTTGCAAGGGCACATGAATGAATCAGTACAATTACAAATTTCCAGATGATTGGAAAAAGGACAAAGTATTATGAACATAGCAAAAGTAGTAAAGAGAAGGATTTGATGTTTTCTTCAATTTTGACAAGTCATTTTCAACCAAAAAGATATCAGGATCTGAAGCCTCACAAATGACCATTAAGCATTTCTATCCTACTCTTCGACAATGACTTTCAGTATAGGGAAGAGAATCCAATTAACATTTCAGTCAAGATAAACTACTAATATGGATATTTTCCTTCCTTGTGTATGACCATCAACATACATACGTTGTCCTATTCCAGCCATTTTTTCTGTTCTTCACACACAAAGGGTTTTAATGCATAGATTATACTCGAGAGTAGCTTAGTCCCTCTAATGAAGAATAGAGTCTTTTCATTCACCCTAATCAACAAGACGACTTTGCTTCATAACAGAGAAAACTACAATCACCAAAAATACATGAACGACTCAAATTGAAAACAGAACCTCTTAAATCAGCTTAAGCACTAGAGTTCAACAACAACCCACAAGCCCAAATGACTACTTCCACTACCCCTTCATCCCATTCACAAAATATATAATCACAAACCCCCAAAAAAATAAATAAATAAATAAATAAAGACCCATTACAACAATAAACACCATCTCATCTAAATCAAAAAGGCAACTTCATTTACTACATAAATACTTAAAAGTCTTCAAACACAATGCCCCTTCCTTCAACAAGGATTCTCACACAGCCATAAAATTTCCCATCTTTCACTCATTCCTACTCATATATTATCAAGATCAATACCATTTCATCATACATATACATATACAAACATAAATACATACACACTATCAAGAAAGCAAGCAGCACCAAACCGAAATAGCATCAATCTTTAAACAAAAATAAGCAAGAAAAAACAACCAAATGAAACAAACAAAGAAAAGAAACAAAAATGGTCTTACCAGTTTCGATAGCCAAACCAAGAAATGAATTCTTCCTCTTCTCAAATGCTTTAAGACTCAAGTATCCAGCAAAGATAAGAACCAATCCAGTGCCAACACCCCCACCTAATGATGCCATACTCCCTTTCTTCAAATACCCAATTACCCCTCCAATCACAAGAACCAAACCATATGGTATTGTGAAGCAGAAATCATGCATCTTTCTTGGTTTTCTTGATTTCCAAGATCAAACCTTTTTTGGGTTTTTCACAGATCAAGCAAAGAATGAAAGAAAAGAAGAAAAGAACGAGTCTATTTTTTTCTGTTAGTCAACTGCTTTCGGAACACCAGCAATTAAATGATTTTATTATTTTTGTTTCCGTATTTGCCCTCAACTAGACGTTGTCGTTTTGTTGGTTCTTTCTGTATAGGGAAAGCGAGCGGGGGCAGAATTTTTTACGGGAGTGTGGCAAGCACGGTGCGAACTGCGAAGTGATCCGTTATTAGGTTTGGGCATTTATAGCACTTTCATCCTTCTACTTTTATAGTAATGACAAATTGAACTTATACTTTCTTGTAAAACTTACAAGTTGGTGTTTTTTTTTTTCTTTTTCTTTTTGAGAAGTAATACATGCCATCCTTTTTTACTAATGCATGTTGAGAAATTCATTTGTTTAACATAAACTAATTCACTTTTGTCTCTCTTTTTTATCAATCATTTACTCCAAACTCTAAAAAATACATCATTGGCAATGCTACTTTCTACTCTATGGACTATGAATTACAACATCAAATAACTTCCTTTGTGAAATTTTAGTAAGCATAAACAAACATAAGAGATTATTTTATTGAATCTGTTTTGCGATTGAGTGAAGCAAATTTTAGACCTAGAACTAAAAGGACTTTGAATTGAATTTTACTTATACTATGTATTGAAAGCAAGCCAATTACCACACGCTCTTATAAAGAACACTTTTTTCTACAAAAGAAAAAAAAAACCAAAGACAAATTTTTAGGCTAAATTATAAATTAATTCCTCTATTTTTCAGAAATTAATAAATAATTTTTTTGTTTTGGAAATTAATTATTTGACTATGTTAATTATGCTTAATTTAATATTATTTTATATCAAAAATATTATATTTTTTATTTCTTAAAACAAAAAATCAAAAAAATTAAAAAAAAAAAGAATGAAAAGGATTAAATTAGGAGAAATTTAACATATAAGGATTAAAGTATTATTTTTTGAAACATAGAGGACTAATTACTTCGTTTGTCAAAACTGAGGGACTAATTTAAAATTACTCCAAATTTTACTAAGTGAAAGTTACAGGAGGAGAAAAAAAAGAAAAAACAAAAACATAAAAAGACCAAAAAGCCTCGAAAAATAAGACCAGGGGCATCCAACTAAAAAGACTCGATCTAACAGAGCATGAGATAGAAGCTGAGCAGCAACATGGAGACACAGACAGCTCCAGATGAACAGATTATGATGGATTTGGGGCAGAAAAGGAAAACGCAAGCAGGGCTTGTAGCAACCATGAACTTTCAGTGGCGAAGAAAAGAAAAAGAAAACGCAGGCGTCATATCAGGAGGCTCGCCAAAAGGCATAGCACTCACACCACCAAGGGTAGATAACCATATTGCAGACAACGCAGAGAAACCATAATATGCCATTACAACTTGGAAGAGACAGCGGATCAATCTTGCAGAACATAAAGATACTAAGGTACTCATCAAGGCATAGGAAATTCAGGACTAACAGTTGTTAAAAAAAAAAAAAAAAATCCAAACTATAAACGTATATCCTACTAATAATGAACTCGTGGATGATAGAAAGCAATATCAGCTAATTGAACCCAATCCAACCATGCAAGTCAACAAAGGGAGACAGCTTTCAGGCACATTACTTGAGAATGCTAAGAAGTGTGATATAGAAAATCTAATTTCATGTTTATATCAAGTGACAATCTGAGAGAAACACAGGATCCAACTAAAGCCAAGAAAGTTAACATGCTTATAATATAAAGCTTGAATCACACACAAACAACTCAACCGTACACAAAAAAGGATCCCATGAAGTTATAAATTGAAGTAGATTTGACAGAAAACAACAGCAAAACCTTAGAAACACATTAAAGGATGGATAATGTGCAAATAAAACAAGCCTTGTACCTTATACTGTAGGGTACAACTTGAAACTTGGTTATAGCTAGGAAAAATACTTTCATTCAGTAAATAAAATTTGACATGAGCTTGAGGCCCTTGGCAATGTATTTAACTTCTTGAGAACATCTGGATCTATGACCGTGAGACACTGGTAGCATGACAAAGTCATCTTCTCCAAGACCATTGCATTCTTCAGAAGGCATTCCACTATTTTCATATCTTCTTCAGAAACTGCAAAACTTTTAATTTGAACCATTTTTAGGGATGATAACAAGCACTTAGGAACAGTTTCCAGGGGTTTCCACCCAGTATAATCCTACGAAAAAAAGGAGAATGATTAGGTTTTACTTGAACATAATGCACAATGCACAAACCCTACAAAAAAAGAGGAGAATGATTAGGTTTTACTTAAACATAATTTTTAAAAAAAAAAAAAAAGCATAATGCACAAAGCACAAACCAATAATAGCTTTAATGAACTTCTCAAAAAGCATAACTGTTTTAAGTTGCCTTAACTAACCTCCGTCTCAAGGACAAGAACTTCCAAATTAGGTGTGCATGCCAGTATATCAAGGGAAATCGAAGACTCACAAGTAGCTCTCACCTCCAAATGAGTCAAATTATGAAAAGTAACCAAGCTTTGAAGAGTAGCAAAACGTTCTTGTGTTCCTTCATTAAGAGTCTGAAACGGAAATATGCAAGATGGCAAACTTAATCATAACAATCATCAGGAAATATTAGCATTATCAACGAAGGAAGAAGAGACTTACCTTCAGCATTTCACTAGTTAAACATAAAACCTTGACATTTGATATCTGTCTCAGAAGCTGAATCACCACATCTGCATAAGCATAAAGTTCTTCGCCACAAATCCCTACAAGATGAACATTGATTTGTGCCTTAACTATTGTGGAGGACCGTGTTATTTTCAACTCCTCAGACATAAAATCTGTGACTTCGAGAAATTCAAGATTTGGGGCATCAACAACAAATTTGTAATGATGATTTTCATCAATTTCATCATAATCACCTAAGTTCCGGATTGTCAAACTTTTCAGCGAACATGAGTTAATATATAAGGTCCACATATCATCAAGCTCGTCCCTTTCAATTTCTAATTGTTCAAGAACAGGGGCACCAGACAAGAGCTTCCTCATATTAGCTTCATTCAAACATTGAAGAGATCTAAGATGAAGGACCTGAAGAGTCGGTAAGGATACAGAATCAGGAACATTAAGGACGACATTACCATCAATGCTACCATTACCGTGAAGTTTCAAAATTTTTAATTTCTCACAACTAAAGAGGCTCCTTGGTAACTGAACTGCGTCGTTCATGAAGATCCAAACATCAAGTTCAAGCTCAATAACATTACGCATAACTGCAGTGGAAATCCATGCATATACACGGGAAAGATCACAGTCTCCTAAAAATTTAAGGGAGAATTTTTGAATAGGGTGGACAATATTGAAAAATAGAACTTTATCCACGAAATTCATGAATTGTCTCTCACGTCCTCCATGACACCCTATTAAACTTTCATCAACACGTAAAACGGGAACTGAAGTCCAGAGGTATCTCCATCTAGTGGAGACAATGCTGGTACGAAAAGCATATTTAGTAGGTAGAAACGAGAGTATGTGACAAAGAAGCTCATCTGGCAAGCTACTGATTCTGTCCTGATTTTCTTTCTTATGCTTTGAACTCGACGACCCTTTATTGGAACCTTCAAATTTTGCTGATGAAATTGCTTCTCCATCCATTTGACTTCAAAAGGGTAAAATCTGAAATTCAGGTGTAAAAAAAAAAATCTCATGCCGTTAAAAAAAAAAAAACCCAAATTGCAAGTATAACAGAGGAGACCAAATCCAAGCAAGAACATGAAAAGTAAATATCATAGTTCAAGAAATAAAACAAAGAAAAACCCAAATTGCAAGTATAACAGAGGAGACCAAATTCAAGCAAGAACCATGGAAGTGAGAAAAATACCCTAGCAGAGTAGAGAAATTCGCGACTTCGCGACAATGACAACGGTTTGAAGAGCTCTGACACGATGACGATTGCTCAGGTCCTAACAGCCTGTTCTTGAAGAGTGAAAACTAGCCATGAGTTGGTATTGTTGTCAAGCCCAAATGTAACTTGAAGCCCAAACCGTTTGGGCTTGACACTTATGAATGGCAAGCGTTTACGGTTAGGTATTTCCCCTGTTATATTTTTTTACTAGTAAATTATAAATTAGTATCCCTAGTTTTACCAAACGAATTAAATAGTCCTTCTCGTTTTAAATGCTAATTTATTAGGTTTTTTTTTAATCTATTTTCAACTTAATCCTTCTTTTGTTTCATGTTCTTTTCCAATTTATTTTTTTATTTTAAAAAACAGAAAAAAAAAAGTAGATAGTATACAAAGATTGATGAGGGAAAAAAAAACAATTTTGAAAAAAAATAATATTCAATTAAGCATGATTAATGTTGATCAAGTATTTTAATTAATTAATTTGTAAAACAAGAGAAAATATTTATTTTATTTTACAAAATTAGATACACTAATTATAATTATAATTTGCTCTCTTCTTTTTTTTATTAGTACTGGAATTTAAAGAAGAATCCAAACTTTCTGAAGAGGAAGCCTACAATGTGAATTGTAAAAGAGTCCATTTAAAAGTTTTATAAATTTAAGGATGGTTTTGGAATTTTTTTTAACTTTCTTAGTGCATTGTTTCCTTATTCAAATAAAATTCGTTACAAAAGAAAGAAGGAAAGAAAACATAGAAGGCACAAAAAGCCTGGAGAAATAAGCCCAGGTACATCCAAGCAAAGAGGCTAAATCTAACAAAGCATCAGATAGACGCTAGCTAGGCAGCAACATCGTGACAGAATCAGCTATAGATGAACAAAGTCGATCTGATAGATTTGGTTTGGGGGAAGAAAAGAAAACGCAAGCAGAGCTTGTAGCAACCATGAACTTTCAGTGGTGAACAGAAAATGAAGAGCTGAAAAAAGAAAATGCAGACATCATGTTAGCCTATTACGAGGCTGGCCGAAAAACAGC